TTGCGAGAAGTGGATGTTTCCACCCCTTTTCGATTACCAGCCCTCGAGGATGAGCATTGGCAAGGACTTAGTACAACGCCGAACAAACATGGGCCCCAACATGCCCAGCCTGCTTGGTATGATGCTGCCACCGCCCATTGGGCAGCCCTACCCGATCCAAGCATCCAACCAAGCAACGCCTCAACAGCTTCTGGTATAAAATGTACTGCCACCGCAACCCCAAGGAGCCTGAGCCCTCGGCCCTTGCAGCTGCCCTCTCCACCTTTCCCTTCCAGTCCCGGGAAGAAGGTGCTGTGCAGTATTGAGGCCATTCGGACAATGTGGCGTTCAGCCAAAGCCTCAATGGCACGGCATGTAGGAGTACCCGCCGACTGGCATCCCGGCGTGGGGGGTCGATGAGGAGGAGTTGACGCAAGCCTGTCGGTGGCCCCGCAATACAGCCGCCGCTGCTCCGCCAACAGCTGTGAAGGCCAAAAAATCAGGTAAGCGTGCTGAAACGCCCTCTACACGGTATCGTCCGCGACACCTTGATTGGGAGGGTCCATGGCAATGAAGTGCTGCGGGCCGGAGTAAGGGTTTGACTGCTGTCTGGTAGTTTTTCCCCTCTGAATCGGTAGCTGTTGCTACTTGCAGGCTTCCTCCCTGGCAAACTAGGAGGGCTCTGCTGACTGCGGCCCCAGGTTCTACTTGGGTATGTGGCCGGACTGAGCACAGTTGTGCGCCTGGGTGTTGGGAACTTTGGGTCGGGCTTCAATCATAGAGCCGCAAGTTGTGTTGGCTGTTGCTCGGGGTTGCTCCACTGGCTGACCACCATGGGGTGCCCTGGGCTGGTCTTGCATCCGCTGTTCTTGCTGACAAGTCCCCACTGGCTGACCACCATGGGGCGCGTGCTGGCCTTGCCTCTCCTCTGGGAAAGTTGGCCACTCTGTACCTTCCCTTTTCGCCACTGTGTGCCTGGTACCTGCCCGTGTTGGTCGGTAACTTCGCTGTCCTTCTTCGATTTACAGCTTTCCGTGCTGACCTTCGTTGCACCAGTGGCTTCATGATGGTGGTTTTGATGATCTGGCAAACTCTCGCATTTTGCGACTCCCCCGCATGCTCTGCGCTGCTTGATTACACCTGGATTTCTGCGACGACTTCGAGTACTGAGCGCGGGGGACACCTAGACGTTTGGCGCTTTTGGTTTTGGCGGGTTGCTGCGGGTTTTTGTGGTTGTGTTAGGTGGTGTTTTTGGTGTGTGCTTGCTTTGGTTTTCGCGCCTGCGACTGTTTCACCTCTAGTCTGCGCTGCTGATGTAGTAAAGAGGCGACGGTTCAAAAAAAAAACTCGTGCCTCCTCACCGCCTTCCCCTTATTGGGGGTTTTTGTGAGGTCTGGCCACCTCACCGCCTCCCGTTCGGGGGTTTTGTGAGGCCGTAGTCTCTGGCACCCTCTTCGGAGGCTAGGCAAGTAGATTAGCTGGCCCACCTGTGGCAAGCTGTTTCACGTGCGAGTCACTTGCCGACCTCCGCTTCTACCAGGCAGGGCCGCCACCCCACGGGGTCTCCTGTCCTTGACGGCGCAGTTACCGCAGCTTAGCAGTAGCTCAGTACCGACAGGGAGAACACCTCCCCTCGCAAGCTGCATTTTGTTCGAAAGTGACGAAGAAAAATTCACCTGTAGTGTTTGCCTAGTTGGTGCCATGTTGTCTTGACGGTACAGAGAGAAGCATGAGAGTTTTTCTGCTGCATGACTTGGCATGAGCATGTTTGGTTTTGCCCAAAGTCCCTAAGGCATGTTTGGGTTGACTGCGACACATGTCTCGTCTTGTTGGCATGGCCGAGGATGAGTTTTGAAGCACTTGGAACTGCTTGAGAGCAGTAGTGAAGAAGTGCGTGTCAGAACTCTGAGGTTCTGTCTTGTTGCAGCTCACTCCGTGTCCCCGCCACTTCGTTCGTTGCCGTTGGACGTGTAGGATGGGAGTAGGAGTGCAGAGTGGACTCTGAAGCTTCGCTGTTTTGCTGTTAGGAAGTGACCTGAAGTCCCCGAGGTTTAGACCAAAGCAGTTGCATTGCTCTTTGCTTTACCTCCTTTGTAGAACAAAGTTGAGATGGAATTCGTAGCATTTTGGAGCCCTTAGCTCCTGGAGAGAGCTTGCTGCAAGAACTGAAGCTTGCTGAACACTTTGGTGTTTGGCTCAAGCGCGAAGTGAAGAAGAGACAGCTGCGCGAGCTCTGCTTTTCACAGTATCGAGGATGCTAACAGATGCAGTGTCCATTGCTCACCATAGACCGGTTCCGCGTCAATCCAGTCCTGCAAATGATCACTGAGCCGGTCCTCATACGCATCTCCGCCAATACGGGAGTCATCCTGGGCCTGTGCCTCGTGTTGCCCCCGAAGGACAGGGAGCAGCACACTAGTATGCACCAGGTGTGCCCATGACTCACGCCAATATCCCTTTACCACCATTCCAATGACCAGGGTCAGCACCAAATCAACTAAAAAGCTGGGCAACCAGGAAGGTTGGCGAATTGTGTCGATAGGGCTGTCCTCCAATGGCACTCCAAGAGCTGCATGCCGCCTCTCAGTAGGCATGTGGAGTAGTGCATCCCATAAAGGGGTAGACGCCCCGCTAGGGAGCACCATCAGTTGGCTGATCCTGGGCAGGGTCAGCAGGTTCGCTAGTTGACGATGCTAAGGTGCACAGGTTGCATCGCCTTGTTTTCCCCAACATTGGTTTTAAGCTTTTTAGGGGAAGTGAGCTCCATGTAAACCCCAGGAAAGGTGGTGTTCCTTCCATCGGCCTGCAGGGTGACCAATACAGTGGTTCCTCTGGCCGGCACCTTACCCGCAACGGCAAACCACATTCGACGCCCCTCAGGGACGCCAGTGAGGTCAGGCGTGACCTGCATGAGCGTGGCTTTGGGATATATTCGATGCAACAGCTGGACAGGCCACGTGTTGGCGCCGGGTTTCAATGGCACCGGCACGGAAGCCCGCTTTACTGTGGCCTGCTGCGGGAAATGATATTGCTCAGAGGGTTCCTCCTCTACTTCAGCCTCTGAGGCCATAGCCAAGAATTGGTAGCCTAGCATGTCAATGAGTCGCTCAAGCGCCAGATGGGGCAGCCACTGCCAGCACTAGATGTTGTCCAACGACATGCTGCTTTTAGCTCAGTTTTTGCTGGTGCGCTGGAAAGCAAACATGCAGATCGTCTCCTGTCATCCATGCTGACCAGGAACAGTACCACGTTGCTGCATTACTTGAGATCTGCAATTCGGTTTTTCGACATGCTGGATGCCTGTGGCCATTCATTAGATGATTTGCAACAGCATGTTACAATGGACGTCATTCTTTGTGTCCAAGAAGAGTCTGGAGATTCTTTAGCCATGCCACTCAACATGGTGAAAGCACTGAGGTGGTATGTGCGGGCTTCATTGATCCCTTTTCCTGATTTGTATGGAGGTCTCTTCCTGAGCTCGACAAGTTTAGGTGATGCCCCTCGCAAGGAGGCTATGCCACTGCCCTTGCTTATTGTGGTGGAGTTAGAGAGGCTTTTGCTTTCCGATTTTGCTTCGACTGATGCTTAATTTGCATTTGGGGCAGCCTTCGCTTTGCCGATGCTCAGCACGTATGCTGGTCTTCATTGGTCAGTGATGATACTGCTTTGAGAGGTATTTGTTCAAGATCCAAAACCAATCGCAGGGGATCAGCCTCTGGTGTGCTTTCAGTAGGACTGCTGACCCCAGTATCAGCCCCGAAGACATCCTGGACTTCAAAGCTCATGTCGCTTCTTGAAAGTATTCGTGCTCGTGTTGCACATGATTCAGGTCTGGGTGATCTCTTTGCTCCTGATGCATTATTCTTCCACAGCGACACTTCGGGTGCCGGTATGCTTTTTCAGCCTTGCAGTTACGCCTGGGCGTTGAGGTGGCTGAGAGCCTTCGTATCCAAGTGGTTGGGTCCCACGCATGCTTTGAACATCACGCTGCATTCGTGCAAGGCCACGATGTTATCTATCATGAATCAGCTCTTGCTTTCAAAGGACCTTCGGGCCCTGAAGGGCCATCACAAGCTGGATTCCGTTGCTTTGTACGGCAGGGATGATGTTTGGCTTCCTTTGGCAGGTCAGAGAGTTGCGGGCTTTGCTTTCTGGGTGGAGGCCCAGTCGCCCTCAACATCGGGGAGGCCAGTGCCCGGTTTCTGAACCTGGGGTTGCTTTGGCTTCGTTGCAAGAGAATGGGGATTTCACTTCCCAAGCTGAGCTTCCAACCTCTAGTTCATCTTTCGCGGCTTCGCCTGAGCCCGTTCCCAAAACTTTGTTCTTCCCAACCCCGGACTCATCAGGGCGGTGTGAGACTCAGGATGCCGGGGCCCCTGACTTGGGTAAACATGATCGTGATGCCTCTCCGGGTTCCAGCCTGTGGGAGGTTGAGGAGTTTGAATTTTTGCTTGCCAAGTCAGGCATCGTGCGTGTTCAAGCTTCTGCTGAAGCGAAGCGAGCAAAGCGTTCTGAGGGCCCAACGAAAAAGCAAGCAGTAGCTCCCCTCTACGCAAAAAGGGGGTAAAGCTTCTGAGCCGACGCAACAGCTCTTGTAGCAAAGCATGAGCCCGCAAGACTCAGCTGATTGACTCGCAAGTCAATGAAGCGAAGCGAAGCGTAGCAAAAATTTAAGCAATGCCAGCAAAATCTGTAAAACATGTAGCTGGTGCAAAGCACCCATGAAGCAAAATGGCCTCTGTTTCCAATGAAGCAAAAGATTACTGGGCTCGGGACAACGCTCCTTGGCACTTATGTCTGCAAAAAGAGACCTCTGGAGGAAGTTCCGTAACTAAAGCAAAATTGCTCGACCAGATGCCACAGGCCGATTTATATCGGCCTGCACAATAGGCCGTGCGTCGCTTTCAAAGCTTTGATTTTTGCTGCAAGCAGCTTTTGGGCTTCGCTTTAGCTTTGCTGCTTTTTTCCCACTACTGGGAAAATGTCCTCCTCTTCGGAGGCTGCTTTAGCATCAGGTCGCCATGCTTGAAGACAGGGGGTGGACTATTCGGCTTCAGCCGCCGGCAACAGCTGTCGCCGCATCACCTGAGTTCAGGGAGTTCAGCCGTGCTGCTGCGCCGGCTGCTTTGCCCGACCCAGACGAGAACTCTGCTTTCCTGCAGGAACTTTTGGTGCGCGATGATTTTGAGGTCTGGGGCCGTCCGGTGCTTTCGTATGACGGATGGTTGGGGTGGAGCGCTCAGGAGTGGCTTCAGCATTGGTTTGCTTTGGAGGAGAGCGAGCAACCACCGGAGATGCGGACTGCTTTGCGTTGGTGGCGTTGGCAACAGCAGGTCACTGACAACAAGGACGTTGTTGCCAGTGAGACGGTGGAGACTTCGGGGAGATTTCAGAGTGCCTCTGAGGCTGACCCTCCACCCGGTTTCGATGCTTCCCCGGCTACTGAAGAGCAAGCCCCCACCCTGCCAGCTGACGATTCTGAGGTGCCGGATCCAGTTCTTGAAGGGAGGTACCTGTGCCGACCAATTATGACAAGGCCAAGCGTCATGCCCAGCATCGCTGCCAGCAATGCTGGCACCTGTTTAAAACCACCTTGCGGTGAAGGTCTACGGGCCGTGCGCATTTTGCTTTGGGGATGAGTCTCCCCTGATTGCTTTGAGCTTCATCTTCAGGCGACATAGTTGCCTTGCCGCATCATAAACAGTGCTTTCTATTTCACTCACTCTGCGTTGTTTGTGGAAACGCTGACGCCTTTCTGGCGACGCTGACAGAAGCAGAAGTTCCACAAGAAGTTGCTGAGCACTTGGTGATTTCGGGGCTATCTTTCCGATTGTTTTCAGCTTTGGCCATTCGAGTGGGGGATTTTGATTCAGCCATTGAGAAATGGATGCCCTCGGAAATGCTTGCAACAAATCCGGCTGCGTTGCCAGCATTGCGGTTGCTTTGGATTGACAAGCGACATCCAAACATTTGTGCTTCTACGATGGCAGGCAACTTGCGGGGTACACCCGGCAACTACGCCGGAGCCCTCCTCCCAGTCATCATGGGCGGAGACGTTTGCTCCTAAGCTGTCGGCTAGATCCAGGAGTTGCGAGCCAAGTTTTCCGAAAGCTACCCTAGCGAGATTTTGGGGCCGGAGGACATGCCCAGCACAAGATTGCTTTCACATGTTTACAAAATGGTATCGACCAAAGAGTTTGCTTTTGTGCCCTGGAAGTTTCGCTTGTCAGTTCAACTTCACGAAGAGCAGCAAATGTCACGGCCAGAACTCAGTGATTTGCTGTTTGATGATGTGCCGACCCGTGATATTCCATCTGGTGGCAACATGGGAATGCATCATTGCAAGCAGATTCTTTCCTTACTTTCTCATGCGTTTGCGTTATGCGAAGCAGCTCATCTGCGTACTCTTCGAATGTACGAGAAGACCTTCATGAAGTTTGCTTTCTTGAGGACTTCAGCTGAGACCGGGCTTCGGGGCCCAAACGTTGAAGAAATGCAGAATGCAGACCGTATGCTTTGGTCGAGCATTTCAGAGCTTTGTTTGAAAGGTTTTCTTTAGACGATGCCATCCATGAAGTTGTTGAGGTGCGAAATGGTATGTCCACATGGTTACAGCCCAGGCCAGCGATCGCTAAACTCAAGGAGTTGCCCTTAGCTTTTCTTCATCCACGAGGTCGGGGCCGAGGTAAAGGTGCGAAAGGAGGAAAAGGGCTGTCACAGCCCAAAGGCGGTTTTCCTCCCCCTCCTCCCCCTTTCGGTACGGATCGACAACACTGGGTCAATCATCTCATGGAGAAGGGGGAGAAGAAGTTGCTCTGCATGGATTTCAACAAGAAAGCAGGGTGCTCCCGCGGCCAGAATTGTAAATTCCTTCATCGTTGTTGTGTTGCTGTGGGCAACAACCAAGCTTGCGGCATGAAACATGCTGCTTTTGAACACATCTCACCGGCCAAGTGAGGGGGCCCGCGCGGGGTTTCGAGGAGCCCTGTGAGGGGAAGCTCATCGTCCTCGAATTTTCAGAAGCACCTGCCGGATGATGCCCCGGCATGCTCGCTTGTCCCCGAGGAAGGCCCGAGCCATTCAGCGATTGCTCCCGTCCCCATTGCCAGCAGTGTAGTGGATGTTCAATCTGGACAGCATCAGTTTGTTTCGGAATTACCGACAGAAACTTCTGTCAATCCGGGTATCACCCCTGGTTCCTCACATTTGCTTTCTGAGGCCTTTTCAGAAGTATTGGGAGGAACTGGGAAGTTCTTCTTGGACGTTTGTTGTGGCAAAGATAGGCTTTTTTCCAAAGCTGCACTCGATTCGGGATTTACAGTTCTCTCAGCAGATGCATGCTTCGTTGAGCCAGTGGACATCCTTTGTGATACACACTTCGAACTTCTTGTGAGATCTTGCTTTGCAGGTCTCGTATGGTTTGCCATGTCAGGACCACACGAGACGGAGGCACCTGTCACACAGTCAGAGTCCTCGGATCATTCAGGGCTTCCTGTGCGGTTTGAGGAATTCACCTCTGCGATTGATCGTTGTGTTACATTGCTTTTGGCGACTTTTCAATGTGGTGGCCATGTTTGCTTATTCCATCATCCACAGTCTGCAGTGTGGAAGTTACCCCTGGTCCAACACTTCTTACTCGACATTTCGGCACTTTGTGTCTTGGTGGAATTCGCACAGTGGCAAGGCGATGAACAGGACTTTGGCCTTTTCGCTTCTTCGTTTCAGGGTTTTGCTAAGTTGGCGTCCGATGTGACTTCGAGGGACAGGAGTGAGGCTGTCATTCAAACTGGACTGCGATCACCCAGCATTCCGGTATCATTGGCTACAGCTACCATTGAAGTCTTATCTCCCATGCAGCCCGCTTCTGGACCCAAGGATCTCACAGTTGCCGAAGCAAAACAATTGTTGCCTTCCAAGCCTTTTGGAAACCCTCCATTTGCTTTTCAGGATGGAGGGGGCATTGGGTCTTGCCCTGATTGGAGCTGTCCACCACCAGGTACACCCAACGTGCTTTTGGATCTTCGACAATCCTGGATGTCGTTCTTGCTTCGGATCAAGTTGCCACTACGTTTGCGAGACCTTGTGCGTTCCGGGGGAGAAGGCTCATTGTTCACCTATGAGGAAATTGCCGAGCTTCGTAGCAGATTCCAGCTCTGGGCCCGTCGGAAAGGGGACATTGCTGACATCAACTGGCAAATTGACGATGGGCAACCATATTGCTTGCATGCATTACGAAAATTAATTTCGCTGATTATGGACAAGGACACTTCGCTTTTTCCTTGCTTGATTGAAGGAGTTCCTACTGGATTTGACAAGAACATTCCCAAAAGCAACGTTTTTGCGCCACGGGGATCGGACTCCACTATTGATGCTGAGCTGTTGCTTTGCGAGGGCAATTGGTCGTCTGCTGAAGCCAACCCAGAATTGCTTAGACAACTGGTGGCTAAAGAAGTGGAAGCTGGTTATTTGGTCCCAGTGTCTTTGGAAGAGGCCCGGCAACGATGGCCAAATCGTTTGGCAGTGGGAAAGCTGAGTATTGTCTCCTCCGATGGTCGACCCGACAGGTTGGTGGTTGATAACAGCATCTGCAATACCAATGCTTTGTGTGAGATCAATGAGACTTATACCCTCCCGTTGTTGGGGTCTGTCCGGGCCTGCTTGCCTCTTCGAGGCCTGCCTTGCGAGCTAGCTGCTTGCACTATTGACGTCAAGTCAGCGCACAAGACAATGCGTGTCAAGCATGCTGACCAAAGGTCTCCTTGGTGTGCAGTGTGATGGTCAGCATTACTTTTATCGCGTCTGCCCGTTCGGGGCATGCTTTTCAGCACTTTGGTGGGCCCGCCTTGGGTCCTTTTTCGTACGAGTTCTACATCTTTTAATTTTCATTCGGCACTCTCTGATGCTGTATGTGGACGATTTCTTTGTCACCCAGGATGCGTCTACTTTAGATGCCACGGCATCTCTCATCCTTGCTTTTTGTGTATGTTTCAACATTCCCCTGAGTTGGAAGAAGCTTTGCCTTGGCTCAGGTGGTATGGATTGGCTGGTGCGTTAACGTCCGCGCGGGTTGCTTTTCAATTCCACGCAGCAAACGACTGAAACTGCATCTCCGTGTGCAGAAGTTGCTGGCCGATCCGAAGAATGTGCACAAGCGGGATTTGCACAAAGTGGCTGGTCTGATCCAGTGGGTTCTGGGTGCTTTCCCATTGCTGCGGCCTTGGGTTGGAGTTCTTTATAAAGACATACATTGCCCCCGGCAACAAACCACAGCTTGGACCCGCATTATTTCAAGGATGTCTTCGATTGCATCGACGAAGACATGCGTTTCATCCGCGCGCCTACGGGCACAGCCATTCCTGTGGGGGCTAAGCTGCTGGAGGTTAGACATCTCCCTATTTGCCAGAAGAAAGATTTGTTGAAAGTGGTTCTTTCATGCAAGAGAGTCTGGCTTAGGGTTGCAGACCCGGCAGAGGTGAAGCGGAAACTCTCCGCTAACAGTATTGCTTTCCTCCAGTTTTGGCTGCATTGGTGCAAGCTTCCTACATTGCTCCGTCCTTTACAGTTTCCGGCCAGAACTACCATGGTAGCAGCAGCGGACGCCATGGGCTCAGGAACCAAATTTGCAATCGGTGGCTTTGTCAAACTTTCGACAGCCACGATTTGGTTCAGCGAATGTTTCCAACTGGTGGATTTTGCTTTTGCAGGGATTGAACTCAGTGCCAATGCATCCGACAACATCTCTTGCTACGAATGTCTGGCTCAGATTGCGTTGCTTCATTGCGTGTCTGCAGTTACACCGGGTGGACGAATGGCAGTTCGGATCCCAAGCTGGACACGGGGACATGCCAGAGTCGCAGCTCTAAATGCAGTCTAGCAGGCTCGTCTCACCGTTTCAGTTGGTGGTGGTGCAGCGAGACTCCCCTTTTTCCTGGCAGTCTTTGTGGGGCTCCAGCGGCAGCTTTGCTGCTCAGCTTCTTTGCTTTGCACTGCTCAGCCGTTGCACCACCAGTCAAAGAACAGTCTCGCTGTGAGTTTGTTTCTGGTAAGCTGGCTGTCGTAATAAACGTCTTGTGAACCGTCACCATCCTTAGTGCCCAGCCTGTTGGCCGCGAAGCATAGGGAAGGTGATCGAGGATCGAAACATCCAAGTTGCGCCCCGTCAACCTGCTGCTGCACCGACTTCGGATGTAGGCCCAAGAGATGGACAACGGGGCGGAGGACCTGAAGTCCTTGGTGAACAAGTTGCTCCTGAAGTTCACTTGGCAGCTGGAGGGGCACGTCTGGTGATCAATGGGGTGGAGCTGAATGACGAATCTTCGCTTCGGTTGTTGAGGGCAAGTACCTTCGAGTGAGCAAGAATGGTAAGAAGCCAAATCTGTGGGGAAGGCTTCAGAGTGCAGTTGCAGACAATCAGCTTAGAGGTGCAGTTCGTCTGATGCGGTGTCGCCGAGACCCACAGATTGAATCTGGCAGTCAGCAGCCAGATGCAGAAACGGTGGGGCTTCACGAGATGACCCACTGCCCGAGGATGCCGTGGTGCAATGCATGTGTGGCGTCTCGAAGCAGAGAAGATAACCGTAGAGCCAGCGCCCCAAAGGAGAACGGTGTGATCCCATGTGCAAAGAGACGGAATGACAGCTTGTCAAAGCGTGTGCTCTGTGTACTACGCATAATCCTGTGCCCAATTTTCTTGCAAACATCTGCAACAGTGTGCCAGACCATCCACCGGTCTGTTATGAGCAGCAGCGTCATGCTGCGTGCACTATGGGTTGTAAATAGTCTTTTGGGTGGTTTAATCTCTGATGCTGGGTTATAGGTAAGGGTCGGTTTAAGGAACTCTTAGACTTAGGTCGCCTGGGGTTCCCCGCCGACAACCTTCCCGTAATCCTTCAGCCATACTTACTCGTGTGTATAGTAAGTGTCTTCACCGCCTAATATGAATTTCGCCGCTGCGCTTCAGACCTCCCCTCCTTCTGTGGAGGTTCCAACCTTTAGGGGGAGTGTGAGCGGAGGTTCAGAACTTCATGTGCAACCGTTGCGTGCAACGCCTGCTGCTCAGGCCATACACGCACAGGTGCCCAGGGTTGATAGGAGGGTATAGATAAGCTCCCAGATCCCTGTAGGCCATGAGAATTTTTGAAAGATAGTGTAGCCTCAAGAGCTTTTGCTTCGATACTGTGTTGTCGTTCATGCGGTGTGTTAAAACAGGGCTGTGCTTGGGCGGTTGACGGGTAGCCCGCAACCCCTATAGTGCACAGTAGGGCGTAATAATACACAATAATATACTATAATATAGAATAATCTGCAATAACATACACAGAAAATTGAATAATATACAACAATATACAGTAACCTACAAAAAAAGAGAACAATATACAAGAATTTGAAAATTATTCAATAACATTCAATAATATGCAATATTGTACAAAAACAGAAGAAAGGCAATACAATAATACTCAACAATATAGACAACAATGTACAATAATATGCAAGAATATACAATGTCATACAATAGTATACAAGAATTTCCACAACACTATGCCAGAATATACATGCTTCAGAGAATACGCATTTTTTTTTTGAAACTTCTAATGCCAAGATGCCCCCCGCATTGATTTGCAGCCTCTGCAAACTCAGAAATGCTGCTATTTACAGTATTTCCAGCCTCTGAAATCGCAGAAATGCCGCTATTTTTAGTATTTGCAGCCTCTGGAAACTCAGAAATGCTGCAGTGTACAGTATTTCCAGCCTCTGAAAGCGCAGAACTGCTGCAATATACGATATCTGCAGCCTCTCTGGAAACTCAGAAATGCTGCTATTTTCAGTAGTTCCCGCATAAATGCTGTGTTTTTTCGGTATTTAGAGCTTGCGAAGCGGCAGAACTGCTGCATTTCTGAGCGTTTACAGCCTCCGCTCCGCTTGCAGGAAGCCTTCGAAGCCTTCAGTAAATTATTTGTTGATCCCAAATAAGTTTTTTTTGATCCGCCTAGAAATATATTATTTTTTGATCCCAAATAAATTTTTTTGATCCCCTACCCGATTCTGAGTCCAGCAAAGGAAGTAAAATTTGGGTCAGGATGGATATGAGAAGGGGTAAGGAGTTGAGTATGGGCCCCAAGGCCCAAGGCCCAAGGCCCAAGGCCCGAGGCCCAAGGCCCGAGGCCCAAGCCCCAAGGCCCAAAGCCCAAGGCGCAAGGCTGAAGGCCCCAAGGCCCAAGGCGCAAGGCGCCCAAGGCCCAAGGCCCACCAAGGCCCAAGGCCCACCAAGGCCCAAGGCCCACCAAGGCCCAAGGCCCACCAAGGCCCAAGGCCCAAGGCCCGTCCAAGGCCCACCAAGGGTCCAAGGCCCAAAGGCCCAAAGGCCCAAGGCCCAAGGCCCAAGGCCCAAGGCCCAAGGCCCGAGGCCAAAGGCCAAAGGCCAAAGGCCAAAGGCCAAAGCCAAAGCATCGATCAAGCATGCGTTTTGTCTTTCATGCGTTTCTTTCTCTGTTTCGGCTCCATGGGCTCTTGGCACTTTAAACGGCAGAGGCCCTCAAGAGAAGTGTCCTTCTTGGTGCCCCTCCGGGTATGGGTGCTGGCGCCTGAGAACTTTGAAAGAAAGAAGAGAATGAGAAACGTTCGGAGAATGAGAGCATCCGTGAGAACATCAGCCAGAGCCTATCATTCCGAAAGCGATGCCAAGGCCATCGGCTGCCGCTGCAACGATGGCGCGGTTTGAGTTGAAGAGACGGAAGTGACATTTCAGAGACAAGTGCGGGTTTCGGGCAAAGGGACGGCGTAGGACCTTTGAATCCTTTTCATCCATTCACTCGCTCTCTCTCCTTCTCTATATATTTTTTCTCCTAAAACTGTAGTGCAGAGAGGTGCCGATGCCACCACGGAGGCCACCGCGGAGGACGACGTGGCCTCGGCCCCAAAGCAAAGAAGCCTCCGGAGGACTCGAGAAACCCAACCACGTCAACCTTTCTCTGTCTCTCTCTCTCTCTCTCTCCCCTTCCCTCCCCTCCCTCCCTCCCTCCCTCTTTCCGTCTTTCCCCCTTTGTCTGAGAGAGAGAGAGAAAGTACAGACAAATATATAAATTTCCTTGCATTCATGCATTCATGCATTCACGCATTCATAGGCCGTCTGTCCTGTCTGGAAAAAGAAAGGTTCCGATGAGCGCCATTGGTGAGCCAAAGGTGGTGAAGAAGGAGAGAGCTTCGACATAATTAATTGACACCACGAACAATTCGCAGAGAGCGCTTTCTGCCCGCAAGTTTTGTCACAGGACAAGCAAAAGTTGGAAGACGCCCGGAAGAAGCTGGTCTCGTGTGCCAAAGCCTTGCGGGTGCGGGGCTTAATGGATAATGGGGACGTAAGGGCCGTGGGGTGTGAGTGCAAAGCGGAGTCAGCAACTGCCGAGTCAACTTCCGAGTCAACTTCTGAGTCAACAGCGTCAGCCGCAAGTCACGCAGGCGCGGATGGCCAAAGAGCAGGTGGAAGTTTGGAAGAAGGCAGAATTCCATGCAAGAGACAAAGCGCAATCTGTTGAAATAAGAGCCCGTCGTATGTGTGTGTTTGGCACGACTCCAGGCAGAGGCCGAGTTCAGTGTTCAGAAGATGATCTGGCAGAGCCTGAGTTCGCATCTGAGAGTACTGTGGAAATGGGAGCGAGTTGGTCTCGATTTGTTTTGAGTGGTCTCTGTTCGTTGTGACATCCTTAGATGGGCACTGTGGCCATCGTCTCGTTGGCACAGGTCTGCAGAGGGGTGCCAAGCACCAGGGCACTGCGGCGATGATCGAGCCAGAAGCCCAAACCAACAAAAGCCAAGAGAGCAGCGAGGCTTTTCAGAGCACTCCCTTCTTCTTTCATTTTCTTTGCTGGGGTGCGGCAACGCAACCCCCCGACTCTTCCAGAGGTCCAAGCTGGAATTTGCGGTGCAGACCCACGCGAAAGACTTGGCAGCGGCTGTGGCTGGGGGCCTTGAAAGGGGCCTTGACACGAGCATTGAACGGGGCCTTGAAAGGGGCCTTGAAAAGAAAGGGGGCGGGGGGAAGCTGAAGAGTCTCTAGCTAGCCGTTTGTGTTTTGCAGAAACGTGTTTTTGTTTCACATATCCCAGGGTGTGAGCTTTAGAGTGTGAGAGCTTGCTGGCTCGTTTTCTCGCTTTCTCGCTCTCTCTGTCTGTCTCTCTTCTCTCTCTCTCTCCGTCTCTCTCTCTCTCCGTCTCTCTCTCTCCCTCTTTCTCTCTCTCTCTCTCTCTCTCTGGCCACACATTGGATCTTTGTTCCCTTCATCTTCTTCCGTGGCTCTCTGCCTCTGCATTTGAGGAAGCCCTGGACCTGTGCCTGGAGCGCAACCAAGGCAAAGGAAGAGAACCTCTCCTCATCGCACGAAAAAAGAGTGAGAGAGAGCGAGAGAGAGGGGGCAGAGCAGTTAGTACTCTCGCTCTCTGTGTGATCACTTTGTGAAGCAATCAAAGTGTTTTGTGTCCAGTGCAAGAAGGTAGACTTAGTGACTTAGTGGCATTTTCTTTGTTTTGCCTCTTTGTGTTGTTGTCTCACGACTTTCTCTCACGGTTCTCTCTGCTTTGCTGCCTCCTCCCTTTTGGAAGAGGCTTGGACTTGCTGGGAGTGGCCATGATCGAGTCCATCGAGGCTGCATGTGCAGAAGCCGATCCTGTTCGAGTGTTTTGCAGAATCGCGAATCTTGCCGCTTCTTCTCCTTCTTCATGAGAATCCACCATTTTTCACCTCCTTCCACCCTTTCTCTCATTCCCAAACTCATTCTTCTTCTTCGTCGGAGGCCATCAAAAGCGCTGCCCTCCACGCAGATGCGCGGCAGGACACTCTTCAACTCGAACACCGCACAATGTCGGACATGTTCGGACATGTCGCTAATGCGGCTAACGCCCTCCTCAAGCCCAACTTCGAGAAGGGGGATCTTGCGCATTGCGTTTATTTCTCGAGTCATGCTCGTCCGTTTTCGCGTTTGGCCAAATGTGAAGCTGTCGCTTTTGGACGCCGGTGTTCGTCCGCTTTTGGGCATCCGCGTGTGTGAGAGCTGCAGTGCCTCGTCGACGTCAATGTTCGCTTCTCGCCGCTACGTGGCATGAATCCGTGCTGGAAGGTTTTCGTTGTCTTTCGTCACCTCTTGGTAGTGTTTCTCTGTTTTGTTGGCTTCTGTTGCGTTCCTGCTTTTTGCTCTTGTTTTCGCAGCCACTTGCTCCATTTGCTTTCCATGATTATGGAGAAAATGAAGGCCTTTCCTATCAAACACAAAAGCAATAGGGTGTTTGTCCGATCAAAACATGGCGAAGAATCTTCCCCAAAATCAGGAAGGAGTTGCCCAAATGAAGTTTCCAGCCACTATTGATTCAATCATGGACGATCGTGCTCTCTGTTGGAGGGGAGCAGGGGCAGCGAGCGCGCTCGACATGTGTGTACGCCGTGTATGTTTAAGCCTTGAGTTGTCTGCTTGTCTGCTTGTCTGCTTGTCTGCTTGTCGTTTGTGTTTTAGTACCGGGGGGGATGGGGGGGGGGGGTGTCAGTATGGGTCCGCCGGGGAGCGTGTCTGGGTGCAGTGCAAGACTGCAAGACTGCAAGACGAGGAGGCGTCTGGGACACGAGAGAGGGAGCTTCAAGCATGAAAAGAGAGCTTCGAGAGACTCCTCCTCTTTTCTCCCTTTTTTCTTCTACAAAAATCAGAAAAGGCAAAAAAGAGGGCAGCCAAAACAAAAGAATGAGAACATCTCTCCCCTTCTCTCTTTTTTTTTGTTGTCCCTTCCTCTCTCTTGAGACGAGCCTCTCGGCTTCAACAAGAAGCGGGAAGAAGAGAAGAGAGAGGCGCAGAGCTCTTCCTCTCTTTTTTTCTTTCTTTTTTTCTGAGAAAAGAGGGGGAAGGAGAGAGGGGAAGGGGGAGAAGGGGGGAAAGGGGAGAGGAAGGGGAGAGGAAGGGGGGGGGGGGGCAAAAGCAAAAAAGCGCCGTGGGGGGGGGGGGGGGGGGTGCGCCTCCGTGCCGGACCCCCCCTTCTCCCCCCCCCCCCCCCCCAATTCTCTCTTCTCTCTCTTCCTTTCTGCATCTTCCTCCATCTTCCTCCACTTCAAAAGGAGCGCCCTCCTCTCTTCCTTGCTGTGGGCCAGCGCTCTCTTCTTCTTCTCGGAGTGCTCTGTCTCTCTCCTTCTCTCCTGAGACCGATGCCCTTGGGGGCTCTGAGCCCCGTCCTCGCACTCGATTATAAACAAAAAACGCAAACAGCACACCGCCCAAAACCAAGAACCCCGTGCAGATGCCACTTGTTGCACCAGTTGCACCAGTTGCACCAGTTGCACCAGTTGCAGGCAGTCGAGAGAAACCCCTTAAGATTCCGCATAACAGACGTACGCCTTGAGCTGCTGCTCATGAGTAGTCAAGTGAAATGAAGTCCCGCAAAGGCTTGAAGGGGCCTGCTCCAAGTGCACTCGCGGGCTCGGTGGGCACGTCAGCCATGGCCCCCTTCATAGTGCCTGCCGAGGTTTCGTGCCTGAGAAAAAGACAGCTTGCTGCGCAGACCTGAGGCTACATATGCGCATATGCGTCATCCTCTTCTGGAGGGGGGCGGCGTGGCTGGGATCCTGTGGCCCTTGGACAGGAGATTCCTGCTTCATGGCCAGCGAAAACGGACGGCTTAGCGACCCCCAGCCTAGTGGCGGCAGCCATGATCATGGCCACTGGCGAGTCCTCCACCTCAATAACCAGCATGGAAGGGCTTACTGCCTGTCACGGCGGCGCGCTCCATTCCAACCTGAGCTGATCCCACCCTCGCCAAGACCCTCTTGAGCCATAGCATTGCCTCGATCAGGGTGCATAGCATTCTGGGCCGCATGCCTAGAAATTTTCTGGGGCCGATTACAAGCTGGGCCCCGCCAGTAACCCGCAGTTGCCCAGAAGCCGGTTGGCGGGACCAGCCAAGCCGAGAAACTCAAGTCAACGCAAGTAACTCCCCGCTAGCAACAAAAGTCCCAGAAATTGCCGGGAAACAAGCTTCTTTAAACTAAACAATAGGATCCCTACAACAACCAAAGACAACCATTTTAATGGGATAGCGAAGCCTCTGGCCAGCCGGCCCCACCAGGCGCCACCATGCCCAGAAACTCCATGGTGTAAGCAATATTTCTCAAATCATGCTCGGATCCCTATTGCAATTCAAGGGATGTATTCCGTGACAGGAAATTGGAAGACAGCGGGCCATGCAGTTTCCTGGAAACAGTATTCCTTGACATATGTTTCCGGGAACCCAATCACAATTTCTGCGAAAGCTGGCCCCGCCAGCGGGCCCCGCCCACCTCAAATCAGCAGTGTTCCTAGGCTCTGGACAGCGGGCCCGCCAGCGGTCCTTTCACAGCGGTCCTATCAGCAGCATCTTTTTCGTTAGCGGGCCCCCCACCAGCAGGCCCTGCCGCCGCGCCAGTGAGCCGTAGTGCGCCCCGCCGCCCAGAAACTCAAATACCCCAATCAAGCACCCGTACAGTATCCTGTTTCCCCATCCAGCAAGTGGGCTGCCACATTCTGAGGAAAGAGTGGCGCGCATCATGTGACGCAACGTGCTCAGGACAGCAAGCAGTACGGCTAATGGCAGTTCAGGCAACCGGTCCAATTGCCCGCCTGAGCCTTCCCTGCCCGGCTTAGACGAAATGGTGATGCTGTTGCCCGAGCTTCAATGGCCTGCGTGTTCAGGATGTTCAGGAAACTGTCCGCTACAGTTGCCTACTTGGCCGCCCTGGCCTGCTTGCTCCAACATCATGCCGGTACAACTGCCGGTACAATTGCCCGCCTGGATCTGAAGGCAGCATTCTGGTACAGTTGCCCGGTCTCATATTACGGCAACTGGTACAGTTGCCCAGCTTCAATAGGCAGGGCAGAAAAGCTCATGATAAGGCGCCCAACTATGCCGAAAGTTGCCTGAATAGACAAGCCAGGGACGGTACCGGAATGTAAATCCTTGGAATCGGGTTTTAGATGGTTATATAAGGACAGCGTGGGGAGGTCCGACGTGGTAGTTTTTCGCTGCGTCTTTAGCTGCATGTTTAGCTGCGTTTGAAGCTCACTAAACGTCATTCCCCTGCGAGAGGAGCTGGCCAAGATGCTCGAGAAGGCGGCAGAGGAGAGTGTGTGATGAGATGAGCTGCTCTTCTGATGAAGAGAGTTGCTCTCTTCCTTTTCCTTGTGTGTTCTCCTGAAGTCACTGACATGACATCAACTTGACTTCTCATTTCTCTCATTTCTCTCATGCATCTCCTCCCCCACGCTCCCCAGGAGCTGAGCTCCGGCATCGTGTCAGGAGCTCAGCAAAAGAGAATGTGCTCGGAGAGAGAAGCGCTAGACAGAAACGAAACCTCTTCACAAAATAACCGTTTGAGCAAAACTCCCAAAGCTGCCATTTGTTGGGGTTTGGCCCCACTTGGGGCCCAACTTCTTGGGGTTGCAAAGGTCCCGACGTGGGGCGGATTTGATCGCCTTGCTGGGCGACTGCGGAATTCAGGAAGCACTGCTCCGAGTAGACTCAGTAGACCTTCCTAAATTTCTACTGTAGAATTTCTTTAGGGGCCCCTGCAGAGGAGCCCAAGCTGGAGTCGGCGATCAAGGCGGCCCGGGCGCCCTGGGAAACGGCTCAGAGACAGTTGGCAGAGCAAGAGGGGTTTTTCGGGGGGGCGGGGGGGGGGGAAAGGTAGACGCTCTCTTCATTTTTTTTGTCCCTCTCAGTTTGGCGCTCTCTCAGCTCTCTCCCTCTTAGGGCTTTATGAGAGTGCAAATTAGAAGTGTCCAAGGCTTGGGTCGCCGCCAGGGCCTCGCTGTTGGGTTGTTGAGTTGTTGAGTTGTTGAGTTGGAGTTTTAGGGGCAGTGAGCTTGAGATGCTTGAGCAGTCGGCCATTCTGCTTCTCGCCTGTATTCCCCCAGGCCTACGACAACGGAGAGTGAGGAGAGCTTTGTGAGAGCTTTGCTTCTGTAAGGGCATGGGCCACGGGGGACGGGGGAAACGCCAGGAGACGCGTCTCGGTGCAACGCGCAGTGTTTCAATTCATGTTTCAATCAACTCATTTTGAGAGAAGCCGTCGCGGAATTTGTGGCCGAAAAAGCGGCTTCAACGCGAGCGCAGCGAGTCTGTTGGGACTGTTTCACAGGCGGGCCGAAAGGTGCTTGCCGTTTCGAAGATCTAAGGGAGGGCGAGGGGAGCAGAGAGTCGGCGCAGAAAGGAAGAGGGGCGCTTGACAGAACATGCCACATGACATAGCTTGGAGGTGGCCACTGCGAAGCCGGTCCTTCATGAACGAAAAAACTCGCAAATAATGCACATGCGACATTTCACATACTACGCTCCAGAGTGTTAGGAATCATCGTCAGCGTTTGTGACGAACCGATCATGACACCACGTAGGGCGCTTTGATGCGCTTTGCTTCAGTCAGTGAACAGTGCTGTCTTTCTCCTTGAAAACGCCGTCCCACTTTTGCGGATCTTTCTGTCTTTCCTGCGAGTTCTCGCTTTGCTCCAGCTTCTCGTTCCGCCGGATTCCACCACACTTCTGCTCTCACGAGCTGCAATGCCCCACAGTTGTCCAGGTATTGTCCAAGAGCGCATGTGGGGAAATCCTGCAAGGCCTTCCACCCAAGATCGATGACCAAGGTACCTTTGTCTGAGGTCTTAGAGCCCGAAGTGTCAATCCACGGCTGCAAAACATCTTGAAGCTAACACTTGTATCCAGGACCTCGTTGGGAATTGCACGGAAGATTTTAGAGCGCTTGACATGGTCCTCTTATTCCCCAGCCACGTTCCCGCGGCTTGACATTCTTCTTGTAGCTACATTAGAGTATATTAGAGTAGAAGGTCTGCAATGGTCTGCAATATGCAATAGTCTGCAATGATCTGCAGAACCTGCTGAAACTTTGCTCCGGCTTGCTGGACGCAGGCGCCATGGAAAAGTGACTCAGGGTAAGTCACGTGGAACCGCAAAAAAATTGACATCTTTCGGGAGTATCTCCTGGCAAGTTTTCAAAGACACATGTTC